TTAGAATTTGTAGTTGGTAAAACGTAAAATTGATTTACTCTCGATTAACTGACGATTTATTCTAAGATTAAGATTTACTCTTTGGTTTGGTCGAATCGGCCCTAAGGTAGGTAAGGTACTGCTTCATACAATTTTTTATTTTTATTTTAGATACTTTTAGCTGTTCGTCCAAGCACAGAAAACATTTAATAAAGATCATATTGAAGTGTACATTTGTCAGTGTCATTATAAGAAAACCTAGAAATTAATGATTTTTTGTATTATGTGTACCCAAACTCAATCTCGAAATATCTTTATTCATATAGGTAAACAAGTACACTTATGAACGTCAAACAAAAAGTTAAATTAATTGTAACCTATATGTTATTTTCATATCAAGCTATCGCTTTAACTAGCATAGCTAACTGTATACATATGGCCTTATCAACGCGGTCAACAAAGGTATTGCGATTTTAATAAACATCAAGTGTTTGAATCCCGCCATCACAGCCGGTTCATTGCGGATATCGCATTTTATTCATTACAATTATTTCATTACCAGCTGACTACGTAACATGTGTAGGCAAAATAATAGTGTAGTGTAATATGAAAAGTATTTTATAGAGCTGCATACAATTTGTATCAAATTGAAAGCTGTGTTAAATTACGGCTTTACTTTGTTGTTCTACGTTTATGCTAACCTAACCTACCTGGAGTTCATAATCACATTCTGTAAACCTGAAGTTTTAACTAATAAGCGTAAGGTTCTAAAAAAGATTGTCCAAGACTGTAGTCACTTAGAGCTTTTACTTGTGTTTTTATCTATTCTTTTCATTATTATATATATATTTTTTTTATATAATAGGGGGGCAAACGAACTTGCGGGACGACCAAAGACACCCACTTTTAGTGGGTGCGTTTTTAAACGTTATCAATTTTTTTCACTTATTATGTTTCTTGTAAGTTTCTTAAACCATATCTTGTTAATTGTTTTATTCGTAACCACGGTTTCTTATTTCAATATTTATATTTCATGGATGTATTTGAAACTATAGTCACAGTATTTTTGTTTATTACGCTTTGTATCCAATTATAACACATTCTTTTGTCATAATAAAACATATTACCTATAATTTTCAGGTAATATATTTTATTATTAAGGTTTTTAAGTTTTAAAATATTATTTATAATTTACTAACTATTACATACCTATGTGTGTGATAACCAACGCTCGTAATTTGTGCTTTGATTATGTTTCTTGTAAGTTTCTTAAACCATATCTTGTTAATTGTTTTATTCGTAACCACGGTTTCTTACACAATATTACTATAATAAAATATGGAAATATTACTTATAATTTGCAGAATCCTTTTAATAAATATAATATTAATAAATATAATATTAATAAATATAATATTAACCATTACATATGTGTGTGTTAACACACATGTGTTATCTTGTAATTTTGTCCAAAACGGTCGTTATTTAGTTTACTTGTGTTTTAATCAATTATTTTCATTATTATTCATTTATTACATTTGTTAAACCATGCTTGTTTAGGTATTATTTCGTAGCCACAATATTTTGTAATAATGAAATATGTTTTTTTTAAATTGGCAGAATCCTTTTAAATTTTTATATCTAGATAACTATTCTAATTAACATTGCGCATGGTTAACCAGGTCATAAATGTAATAATGGATTATCTGCATATAATCAGTTATCAGCAAGTCCCGATCAAGTAATAATATCGTATTAGAGAGGATTACCTCGATGTGATATTACTTGATAAATCCAATTAGGACATATTACTATCTATATATTATGTATGCAAATATATGATAAGTTAAAATTGTCTATAAGTTTAATAAATTTGTTTAAAAGTGACTGGGCGATAATAATAGTGGGTAGAGAAAGGTGGCGAAAAATACAAAATTGATTTTTTGTCTGTATGCTTGTGTTATGGTTATCTCCTAACATGTTGTAAAGTTTACAAATAGTTAAAGCCTAGGTATATTTCCAGAGCAGTATTGTGCCTCATCCCTGAGGTCGTAGGTTTGATCTCGGGCTGTGCATCAATGGACTTTCTTTCTATGTGCGCATTTAACATTCGCTGGAACGGTGACGGAAGGCTTCTTGAAGGAACCGGCTTGCCTTAGACCCAAAAGGTTGACAGCGTGTGTAAGGCACAGGAGGCTGATCACCTACTTGGCTATTAGATTGACAAATGATCAAGGTTATAGCATCACTGATTTATTTTATCAAGTTTTCAAGTCCTTTAAGCATTGTAATAAATAAAGTTTTAACTGACTTCGAACGTTGAATTGCATTATAACATAATTTTGACTATTCGATTTTTAAATATTTTTATATAGCAACTAAATTTTTAAGTAATAATTAATTAGGTAATTTATTTAGGATTAAGTAAGTACCTACATCTTAAACCTATGTCTATAAGGCATTTATGTGTAGAAGCTTCTCAAAAATAATTGAATTATATTAATCTAATTATATTTTTAATTAAACCATATCAATATGAGTGACGATATAATTTAATCTATAATTCTTATCGCCTATATTACAGCGTATAATACGTGTAAGCTGCTAATCTATGCACTTGACTGGCTGATAACATCCTAATTACTGCGCCTAGAAATTTATATTAATTCCCCTTTATTTACTGCTAACTTCAGACCAAATCTCTAACTCGGATATTAGTGGGCAAAACCGTTTACGACGACATCGTTTAGAATATTTTGACATAATGAAATAATTGAATTAATATATACTTAAGGTTTTAATGGTGATTTTATTTTTCATCGATCATTGAAATCATCAAACATATTCTTCTTTCTTTATGTTGGTCTAAAAACAAAAGCTCTATCTATGTAGGTCTATTAATATTTTACCTCAGTAATTAATGCGCTTTACCCGTTTCATAGATTGAGGCACTTTCTGGGGCAAATAACGAATCAGTTGAGGTATTTCGCAACCAGATTGACTTACGGTCTTATAAGAAAAGAGCGTACTATTTGAAAAGGCGGCGACACAGCAGGTTAGCCATTTATTCTGTTTCCAAAAACTTCCGGGGTACAAAGGAAATAATGGCTCCAGGTTAAGCACAGAGGATTATCATGTCATTGCCTCTATTAGTGAATCGGACATAGAAACATACCGGGTGCCTTGGGGTTATGACGCATAAGTAGTTAAACTTTCTTTAAATAAACTAATTAAATTTGTGAAACTACTCGACATTTTAACTGCTTTAAAATAGTCTTTCTTATATAAACTATAAATCTTTAATATCTCTGTCGTTTACATTTAAAGTAACATGAGAGTGTTAAGGATAAAACATTCAAAAGTAATTTCAAACTATAGTAGGTCATACCAATAATCTTTTGTATAGTTATTTTTATATATACCAAGTCTAACACACCCGACAGACCTTGTTAAGTACAGCCGTCTTACATATATATAAAAAAAATGTGTGCGTGTACTAGGTGTACACTGTACACACGTAAGAAGTGAAACTTCTTTATGACCTTATTAGAAACTATTTCTTTAAACACAGTAAATTTTGATACACTGCCTAGCATACAATTTACAAATTAATTGCTGCAAATTGCGATTAGCAAATTTCAAGTCGAAAATGTAATTCGTTGTCAAACTTTGAAGTCAAAAACATACTATAATATGTCATATTTTAACGCCGATAAAGAAGTTTGACTTCGAAAATGTAATCCGTTGTCAAACTTCAAAGTCCAAAACATACTATATGTCATATTTTAACGCCGATAAAGAAGTTTGACTTCAAAAAGCAACATGGCGCGTAACGGAAAAATGTGGCGCGTAACGCAAAAATGTTACACTAAATTTTTTTCCAACCCCGATATGAAAGTTTCACTTCAAAAACTTCTAATTGTATATATATCTAAATTTAAAAATGTCATCAAAATAGGTCCAGAGGAATTTAATTGCAAACACACGCACATAAGAAATATACAGATATATTAAGACTTAGTAGATTAAACGTAACCTATAAGAGAAGTAACTATTTAATAGAATGTGAACAGCCAATATCAATATATATATATAGTATTTAATTGTTTTACGGCTCGTATAAAACTTAAGATTTTGAACCAAATAAGATGTTACAAATTACAATATTAAGCCTAAGCTATAAAATAGCAGCAAACTGTACGCGCGAGATATCTAAATTCAAAATTTTGTCTACGGTAATGTTTTAGTGCCGACGGCGGCAACGCGTAATAGGTATCCCGTATCTATCGAAATGTGATGTTGTGAATCGGAATGTTTGGCCACCAAAAAATTACCAGGACCATAAAATATTTAAGTTAGAATACGTCACTCGAAAAGACCAGCGAAAACTGTTGTCCCTTTGAAAAATGAGACAATTTTTATGCACGAATTTGTGCTGTTTTAGTTTCAACTAGGTGTAATAATATCTTTAAAATCAAACTTTTAAACTATAAAGTAATGAAAATATAGAAGATGCTTTATTGACGTATGGTAAACATATTACATAACTTTTTAAATCATAAACTAAAAAAAACAAATCAAGTTTTTAATGACAAAAGAATTTGAATATTTATTTAAAATAATGAATCGATTATCACAATTTAAATACATTTTTATAAAAAATTCTATAAGAAATATTAAATTATATGTGTAAGATGAATATGTAGTGACATTTATGAATTATATTATGAAATACGTTATCATTAATACAACATTAGATACTTCATAAAAATTAATACACCAATAAGTAATAAAATAAAATGTATTTCCAACCTTATATTAACGCAAATATATTTTTGGAATCATAATTATGCTCTTGGTCATTTAATAATGCCCTATATTTATAACCCAATAAAGTTGATCAAGTATTATTATATGTAATTAGTTTTTTAAACGAATCTTGTTACCGCACTTACGTTGAACTCTTTTTTACTTACACTCTGCGTAAGAGGTAAGGACGCGTATTAACTCTAAGTACTTACTTGTTTGTAGCCTTTCTCTCCACGCCATAGGATTAGAAACAAGTCCTTGAAAGCCTGGCCAGTATAATGGTTTGTGCTGGAGGTAGTGTGCCATTCCCGCCGCGGCCGCCGCTAAAGATAATCTTGGAGTCAGTAAACCGGCACCAACGTTTGAACCAACAGCTGGCCTTGATAGTATATGGTCTATCCCATGCGGGTTTGGCGCTGGAGGAGGTGCTTCAGCCAGAGAGCTCAGAGCAGCCAGCGGAGCTCCAAAACCATTCTCCAACGCAGCCCTAGATAGTTGCGGAGAACCACGCAACTCGGACATTTTGACAGTTCACTATCACTATTTTAAAACAAGTTCAAACGTCAACACATTGCGATAATACGACCACCGGAAGTAACGAGAGGTAAAGTTCACATTCGAAATTCAAATGAGAAAGTCCATTGATTCCAAATTCGAATTATTCGGTGTCCATTCGAAAACCGTACACAACGCTACCGCGCGAAGTCCGACACCAAATGAAAAGCTCACCGTGGACCGGAGCAAACAAAAAAAGGTGAATAGAGAACGCCCAGTCAATCTAAACCTTATATCCGAGTCACCGCCCATTCGAGTAGAACGTGTGCTATATATCACCGTCTCGCTCACTTCCCTTCGAAAACGACAAGGACAGAGGACCGCGGTGTTAACACGAGAGCGTAGATTTAACGAATCGGTATTTAATGGCGCTTCTTGTCTCTTTATAATTAAGTCGGGTGCAGTTTTTGCGGTGCCTGCGCCCCTCGCCCCGCGCCCCTCCCTTGCGAGCCCGTCTCCACTATTGTAGCGAATAATAAGGGCGACTGAATAGTTTTATGATGCCTTCTAAACACCGGAAGGATATTTGTCCCGGATAATTTATGTGACAAATATTTTATTAATTGACAGCCACTTCATGCGCGGAAATAAAACACCCAAGGTATTAACTTCGCATCTGCTCGTATTGTTGAAGCCCAGCTTTATTCAGAGTAATTTAAAGGTTTGGATATCCATTGATACTCAACACATCATTAAAGAGACTAATATCAGAAAATTACTTTGCTACATTGGAAATGATGATTGAATGAAAATGTTCAATTTTGTATAATAATGAAAGCTCCATATAAAACATCCCCATATTACCTTATATTAGTTTGAGCTATTGTTTTAAATCGATTTTTGTACGAAGCATTATTAAAACACTTTTCCGAAATAATATTTATATATTTTTGTTAATGTTAATTCTATTCACAAAATAACAATAAAGGACGAACATGATATTAAAATAAATTAATAAATTGGTTATTATACTAAGCTTATTATATTTATTCACGGATCATGAGGGGAAGAGCTTTTTAATGTGAGTTAATGCCGCCATGGCGGATTATAAAAGGGTAAAAAATACTTTGTGGCGTATTTTGTCTATTGAATTGGGCGAGCTTTGTGAGCCGGATGTGGTCATAACTTTTAATTGGAAGCTCGGTGAATTTATATACCTATTGAACTACCCTATTAAATAACATGTAATATATAGAACTTTAAATGCCAAGGATAATGTAAAATTGGTACATATTTTGAAATACGGAAAACAAATTTAATATATAGGGAGCGTGGGGCTAGTTGTAACAATTTTAACAAATAATTGAATATCATGAAGAATATTGGCTAAATTACTACTAAATAAACTTTGATCGATACTCTTACTATTTATCTATGAAGTCGAATCGAAATATTATCAAATCTACAGGTAACTATCTCACAATTATTTTTTTCTAAAAGAGAAGTGTTACAACTTACCCCGTGGTTGGGGCTAGTTGTAACAACAAAAATGACACCTTCAATCGTTTAATTTTTTCACATCTTGGATCATTTTATCTCTTAGTTCTACCTTACATCTTACCATCGCAGATTTGTTAACTTTTCCTTCCCCTTTCACTTTTCTTTATCATCTTCTTTGCATTTTCTTCATCTTTTCTTCATATTCTACTCTCAAAGCTTCTTTTTCAGACGTATCAGTCAGAACAGCAGACTTCCTTTTGCGTCTGCAATTTATATTTGTTTTTCGTGGTGCGCCTTTGTAATGGTCTAACTTTTGATGGGAAAAATTGATTTTGACCAGAGCAATTGGATTATTTGTTCGCATTTCAATGTGTATAATTTATATTGTGCTGATATCCACTTCAGGAGCAGAATCTAATATTTGATTTTTAGACTCAACGATAAATTCTCACTTTCATTTAGAACATTTTCTGATTGTTCTGTAGCTTGATGATAGTAACATAAGAGAGCGCAAAGTCATATCTTGGAAAATATCAACATTCAAAGGCAAAATACCAGAAGCTTTAAGTCTACTGAAAATGACTCCTTCACTACACTTGGGATTCATAAATTGTCATGTTTTTCCTGATTATTATACATCCATGCAGTCTGTGCTCTGTTCACGTAGTTTTTAAAAGGGCGTAGACTCCTACATAATAGTTGAAAATTTGAGCAATGGAGGAAAACTATAAATGATAATATTGTTTTCTTTGCTTTTTCGACAACTGAGCTGACACTACTCACAACTGAGAGACAACATTCAATGTGAGCCATGATTATCGAGCAGTAACAGAACTGGCTCTTCTTGGTAGTTTCGTGTTTGATAAAGTGATCTACAAAAATCAAAAATTCTTTATAGTCATCCTCCACCCTGAGAATTGCCACTCAATGCAATCTTCAGTCCACCGCGAATGAACATTTCGAGTATTTAAGCCGGGGAAAACTGAAATGGCCGTCAGTAACTTAAGAATCTGGGGGCAAATTGTAAATTTACAACAAACCCGAGGTTTTGTTACAACTACCCCTTGATATAGTTCTTAATATTTATCACGATAACTATTAAATTAACTTAGTAATATTGAAAACTGTTATACAAATCATAAATAGTTATATTTTAGCATAAAATAAAATACATAAAACTTCAAATTAGAAAATAGTAAAACTAACCAAAAATTTACGTTATAAAATTATAGGTTTCCTGTCAACAATAAAGGTTTGCACACACCCACTCACTGAGCCGCCTGGCAGGACCCTGGTGTGGTAAAGTGGGTGGAGTTATAAGTTGAAGATTAGGTAAAAAAAAACGTAATAAAATTCAAATTCTATTGAAAAAGGTCTGTTACTATTTACCCCTGTAAAACAGCCGGCTCCCCTACCTATATAGAGTCTGTGGCGCTACAACCTTTTTAAGTCTGGGCCTCAGAATAGGCCTCATAATAGGCAAGTAGGTGATCAGCCTGCAGTGCTTGAGACACGCTGTAGACTTTTTGGGTCTAAGACAAGCTGGTTTTCTCATGATGTTTTCCTTCACCGTTCAAACAAATGTTAAACGCGCACATAGAAAGAAAGTCAGCCCGGGATCGAACCTATGACCTCAGGGATGAGAGTCGCACTAGACCAACACTGCTCTTATATAGAATAATTCCGTACTATTAAGCTTCGAGATATCTTATACAAATCGTTTAAAGGGAACAAATTTTAAAATGCATCGTAGTTCGATCTAAGAATTTATCACTTCATGATAATAGTCACATCATTTCTGCAATCGGGCTGCACATGTTCTTCAGGCCAATTTAGCTAATCTCAATTGCATATGACTCTATGTAAGATCGACAGCGGTTCCCATCACAATGATGAGTGTTCGTACCGCGATTCCAAGGTTGCATGTTTGCTACGGGTATTAGGAGAACGGATTGGTATCGCTCTAGCTATTGGAAATTACATAGTACGATCGCAGTTCAGTCTCTGTTCAATTCTCATACTCCAAAACGGACGACTGACACGAACTATCTAGCCCAGTGTTGCCCAGCCTATGTTGTGCCATGCCCCACCTTAGCCTTCCTAAAATTCTAGGACCATATAACAATACCATATACTTCCCCCATGGAACATACATTTAATATCTAAGATTGAATTGCTAATAAATTAAATTTAGAAATTTATTTAAGAAACTTAATTGACCTTAATCGTAAAACCTTTACGAGGAAAATACTTAGAAATTAAACAGAGTAAGTAGATTTTAAAACAATGAAATTCTGAAATTTTAAATAATGATTTAAAATATTTTTCGAAAAGCCCCCTTAACAATCAAATAGCCCGCCTGTACCACGTTGGGAAGCACTGATCTATTTACGTTGAGACCGAACACTCTTCAATTATTCTTTCCCTCCAATAGAAAAGATGTACCTACGTACGGCAGGTGACTGACTTTTATGACAACTTCCGAACTTATAACCTACCCTTATACGAGCTTTTATACCCGATTTAATAACCTAAATGTGATTCATCATCGGACTTCGGGCAGAATACCAAATTCCACCTGTATCACCTCGACGACCGTCGTTCTACAACTGGGAATTTTTTAAGGCAGATTTTTCCGTGCACCACTATGTGGAACCAGCTGCCCACTGAAGTATTTCCGAACCAATTAGACTTTGACTCAAGAAAAGAGGCCAGGAAACGCACTTGTAAGCCATCTGGAATAAAAATTGTCCAGGCGACAGCGTCACTTAACATCAAGTGAACCTCCTGTCCGTTACTTGTTTAATGTTTTCGTTTAGTTTTTGTATTAATAATAATAAAAATATGATTTTTTTAGTTTGTAACGACATTTGTTCTGTGGTGATGCCCTTCAGGCACCAAGGTTTATTTAAAATGTAATAAATGTATGCAAGGATAAATACAAAAACATCGCTTGTTTCTCGGGCCGCCCGTAGTCTAATAGTATATGTTGAGTACGGAATTCCTGTTTGTAGTTTCTCTTTATATCACAAAGACTAGCAGGAAGTGACCGGTAAGGGCCAGTTTGAGGACACAAAGCCAAACGCCGATTATAAGGTCGGTATTGAGTGAAACAACAAAGGTTTGGTTTTATTGTTAGCGGGCGGCGAACGGGAAACTCGACGGTATGTGTTGCGAGTGATAGCGGGAATTTATATAAAGTAGTAGGTACTATGAGCGTTCTATAACCACAATTTAATAATTATGTATGCTGTAATTTGTAAAGCATTTTACGGCTGGTAGTAAAATATTTAATTCAAATGAAGTATTGATTGATTTGCATAACACATTACAAAAACAGTTCAACATTTATACTTACTCTGTAATTAGACAATATTTTCAGGCGTACAGTAAAAATAAAATAATTTGCTGAGTTATTAAAATGGAAAGAACCTAATTATTTTATCTCTACAGTTATTACTAATGTGACAGAACAATACAATAAAGGCTACACCTGGATAATTAAACAATTAAAAATACAAATAATAAAAACACCAATAACATCAATAATATACAGCAATAATAAAGCAACTATTGTGAACTCAGCCAAATAATAGGCGTTCTTAGAAATCTTATTAATTACATGTATCACAAGAGCGTCACGCCAACTATCTCCTAAGATTCTAGCTTGGAAACTTAGAAGTTAAAGTTGATATTAATTGTACGATATTTGATGTTGCGTACATTGTTTTTAGGACTGTAAAACAAATTGACATTAATTTATTGAATATCAAATTATTAGCAAAATATACTGCAAACCATTTCGCATATTTATAAATACGCATACTACCACAAGATTTTTTTTTATTTTTAGAACCTATTTTACTACAAAGCATATTTAACATAAGAAAGTATCCAATAACACTACTTACAGTCTCTATTAAGGGGAAGTCACTCTGTTCTTGTGTACTATTTTTTTTTACTTACTTCCTGTTAACTTTCCACACTTAAGGCTAATGTAATGTAACTAAATTAGTGTAAGTGCATCAC